CGTGTGCCCGGGGTTACGCTGTCCCACTACCTCGCCCGCACTCGTGGGCGCACCGACGACGGCGGACCCCGGTAAGAGAAGAAGTGGCAACAACAACAACAACCACCACCACTTCGCTCCCCTACCCCCCCCCGCCGCCAACGTGCGTGATCACGGCTGTGGTCTGCTTCTGTTCATCGTCCGAGAAATGGAAAAAAAACAAGCCGTGCATACAGCGGTGTAAAGGTTTGGTGGCCGATCGGGTGATCACGCGAGGCGAAGAGAGAGACACGACACGCTTCCCACCCGCGTGGTCCCAACAACAAACAGGGAGGGCAGTAGGAGAATACGGAAAGCTCCGTTTGGGGGGGTGGGGGTAGTCGACTAACCGCGGAAGGCCTCCTCGCCCAGCCATTTGGCGGGACGCCTCCGGAACCGCGACTGGCGCACGAGTTCTCCGGAGTGGGCGCCTTGGGCTCGGCGCAGTTGTTGTTGTTTCGCGGCCTCCACCCACAACAGCAGCAGCAGCAGCAGAAGAGGTGTAGCGCCCCTGCCCCGACTTTGCCGCGCGGATATCATCCCACCACCACCGCCGTAAAGAAGACAAAGATGGAGATCAAGCAGCAGCAACTGGCGGGACCGCAGTTTGCGAGTGTGGGCGAATTCGTCCAGTGGAGCGGAGGCGACCGCGTGATCGAGCGGGTGTTGGTGGCCAACAACGGAATCGCGGCGGTCAAGGCCATCCGTTCGATTCGCAAATGGGCCTTCGAGGTCTTTGGGAATGAACGGACGGTGCAGTTTGTGGCCATGGCCACCCCCGACGACCTCAAGGCCGGCGCCGAGTACATCCGCCTCGCCGACTCCTTCGAGGAGGTGCCCGGCGGATCCAATGCCAACAACTACGCCAACGTGCCCCTCATCGTCGACCTCGCCCTCCGCACGGGCGCACACGCCGTCTGGGCCGGCTGGGGACATGCCTCCGAGAACCCCCGCCTCCCCACCTCCCTCGCCGCCGTCGGCATCGCCTTCCTCGGGCCCCCGGCCTCCTCCATGCGCGACCTCGGCGACAAAATCTGCTCCACCATCCTCGCACAGTCCGCCCGCGTATCCGTCGTGCCCTGGAGCGGGTACACCCCACCCCGCACTCTCTGCATCTCTCACCCCCCCCCTCTCCCGAATACCTCGCGTGTTGTCCTTCTTCTGGACTTGTGTGTGGTGGCCACCACGCCCCGGCGTACACGCGCCGCGCTTACAAGGCCGATGTGGCGTGAAACCCACCCAAGCCTCTTTTTTTTTGTTTTTGTTTTGTTTTTTACATGACCACACCTCCTTGTTGCTTTATTGTGCCCTTCTTTCTATTTTATCAACTACTTGCTGACGCACGCCCGCACGCACAGAGACGGCGTGGAGGTGCAGTATGGCGAGACGGGAATCACCGACGAGCAGCGGAGCAAGGCACAGGTCAAGTCGGCCGAGCAGGCACGCGAGGTGCTGCGGCGCATCGGGTACCCGGCCATGATCAAGGCCTCCGAGGGCGGGGGCGGCAAGGGCATCCGCAAAGTCACCAAGGAGGACGAGGTCGAGGCCGCCTTCCGCCAGGTAACCACCCCAACCCTCCCTACGCCGTGCCCCCCTGCCAGCATTCAGCATTCAGCAGCAGCAGCAGCAGCAGCAGCACACTTGGACCATCTCCCTCCCACGGACTCAGGTCGCTTGCCCAACGCGTGCGTGCAGGTGGTATCGGAAATCCGCGGGGCTTCAGTGTTCGTGATGCGACTGGTGCCGAGTGCCTACCACTTGGAGGTGCAGGTGCTGGCCGACCAGTACGGCGACGCCATCGCCCTCCACAGCCGCGACTGTTCCGTGCAGCGCCGACACCAGAAGATCATCGAGGAGGTGACCTCCCACACACTGACCTCTTGGGCTCGGACTGTGGTGGCCGCTGCTGCTGCTGGCTGGTGGTGGTCATCGTGAGCCATTACCAATGCTGCCGCTGGCGGCTGTGTGCCGTGTGCGTGTGTGTGTGTTGTGTCAGGGGCCGGTCGTTGTGGCGGACGCCGAGGTGCTGCGGGAGATGGAGCGTGGCGCCGTGCGCCTGGCCCGCGAGGTCCGGTACTCGGGCGTGGGCACCGTGGAGTACTTGTACGCCGACGGCCAATACTACTTCCTAGAGCTCAACCCGCGTCTCCAAGTCGAGCATCCCGTGACCGAACAGATCACTCAGGTGCGCACCATCTGCTCCCCCCCACGCGCGAGGTCTCACGTGGACTGAGCGTATGCGTGTCATGCGTGTCGTGTTGGGTCGCGTTGCGCAGGTGAACCTGCCGGCGTGCCAGCTGCAAGTCGCCATGGGCGTTCCTCTTCACCGAATCGCGGAGATCCGACGCTTTTACGGTCAGGACCCCCAGGGCCAAACGGCAATCGATCTCTACAACACCGCACCGCGGCCTGCTCACGGACACGTCATCGCCTGCCGCATCACCGCTGAGAACCCAGACCAGGTACTTACACCCGCTCGCGCTCCCCACTGACGCCTCTTTCTTCTTCTCTCCTCCTCCTCTTCTTCTCTCCCTCCGGACTAGGCGCGTGCCTGATTTGGCCGGTGGGGGGGGGGGGTGGTGGCGGCGGCGGCGGCTTGTGCTCGTGGCTCGTGGTGGCATGGGGCTGCTCTGACGCTGGCTGGCTGGCTGGCTGGCTGCTGCAGGGCTTCAAACCGACGTCGGGGTCCATCCAAGGTCTCAACTTCTACTCGTCGCCACGCGTGTGGGGCTATTTCTCCGTGGACGGCACGGGCGCGCTCCACGAGGTACGCGCCTTGGCCGTGCACCTTTCTCCGTCCGAGGCCTCTTCCGCGGCGCGCCTCCGCTCTCCACTCCTACTACTTGGCTTGTTCGCTCATGCGCGGTTGCGTCTCCCCCCCCTGCGCGCTCTCGTCCGTCCCTCCCCTTTTCTCCGTATGTGCGTGCATGTGCGCGACCAGTTTGCCGACTCGCAATTCGGGCACCTGTTTGCGTGGGGCGAAACCCGCGAGGAGTCGCGCAAGAACATGCTGCTCGCCCTCAAGGAGCTCTCCGTGCGGGGCGACGTGCGCACGCCCGTCGAGGTCCTCATCCACATCCTCGCCTCCAGCGACTTCCGCAACTCTCAAGTAACGTGCCCCTCCTCCTCCTCCTCCCGTTGATCTTCATCCCCCCCCCGGTGCACGCCTTCTATGCCTCTAGAAATCCAGATCTGTAGATGTTGTACATTATACATCTAGTGGGGGAATACTAGTCGGTTGTTGTTGGCGCTGGCGTCGGCGTTGTTAACGCGGGTGCCTGGTGGTCTGCCTGACTGCAGATCCATACGGGCTGGTTGGACGAGCTCATCGCGTCGGAGTTCAAGACGGAGAAGCCCGATCTCTGGCTCGTGCTCGCGTGCGGTGCCGTCTTCCAGGCTCACGCCCACTTCCTCGTACGCCCTCCTCCCCTCCTCTCCCTCACTCGAGGATGATCCGCCTCCCCCCCACCTGCCGCCATCCCCTTACGGAGGAGGACCGCCACCGCCGCCACGGATGTGCAGGCCATGCGGGAGGAGTGCATCGAGGCGCTGCGGCGAGGCCAGGTGCCCCCGCCCGACAAGCTGGTGACGGAGGTGGTCGTGGAGCTGGTCTACAACGGCTTCAAGTACCCCCTCAAGGCCCAGCGCAGCGGACCCAGCTCCTTCCTCCTCTCTCTCCCCGGATCGCCCAACGTCATCGAGGTGCCTCCCCCCCCTTACCACCGCCCCACCACCCTTCCAACTGTCCGCCTCGCCTCACCGCCCGTTGCTCACACCCAACGTTGTTCCGTTTTAAACTCACTCCCGCCGCCGCCACCGCCAGGCCGAGGCGTACGGCTTGCGTGGCGACAGGCTGCTCATCCTGGTGGACGGCAAATCGCACACGTGCTTTGGCCGCGAGGACCCCACCGGGCTGCGCCTCACCATCGGCGCGCGCACCGTTCTCTTCGCCAAGGAGGTACTCCCCCCCACGCGGCTGAATGTCGCCCCCCCCCTCCAAACCATTACCGCGCCTCTCACCACCTCCACCTCCGCCATACGTACGCATATGTGCGTCCTCCTCCTCCTCCGTCGTCGCGTGGGTGCGTGCGGCAGTTCGATCCCTCGACGCTGGTGACCCCCACCCCGTGCAAGCTGGTGCGGTACCTGGTGGCCGACGGGGAGCACGTGGGCGCCGGACATGCCTACGCCGAGGTCGAGGTCATGAAGATGTACATGCCCCTCATCACCAAGGAGCCCGGCGTACTACACTTCCACGCCATCGAGGTGTGCCGCCTCCCCACCCCCCTCCCCAAACCCACCCGCTACCGCAGCACCTCTCTCTCTCTCTCTCTCTTGGCACTCAACGCTGGTGGCTGGTGGTTGGGGCAGGGGGCGGTGCTGGCGACGGGCGATCTCGTGGCCACGCTCGAGCTGGACGACCCGACCCGCGTGCAGCGGGCCACATTCTTCTCCGGCGAGCTGCCTGCCATGAAGCAACCTCGCACGCGCGGTTCCAAGCCGCACCAGCTCGTTCGCTTCAACCTCGCCGCCATCGGCAACGTCCTCACCGGGTACCCCCCCTCCCCCCATATGCCCTCCCCGCTCCGCCCCGCCCATCATCTTTCCTCTCCCTCCTCCCCTCCTCCTCCTCCTCCTGTGCTGCTGCTGCTGCGGGGGGGAGGCGACGCGTGACTGAGAGCTGCTGTGGTGGTGGTGGCGGCGGCTTGTGGCTGGTGGTTGGGTAGATATCAACCGCTGGCCGTGGAGCGCGTGGCCGCTGACCTGTTTGCCCACCTGCACCACCCCGCCCTCCCCGCTCTCGAGTGCTACGTGCGTTCCCCATCCATCCTCATCCATCCCCATCCCGCTGTTCTCATGCGCGCTCGCGACCGGTGGGGTGGGCGCCAAACGAATTGGTTGGTTGGTTGGTTGACGGGTGCGCTGCTCGTGTGCAGGACCTGTTGGAGACCACCGTGGTGCCCAGCGGGCGAGCCGAAGATGCCCTGCAGCATGTCCAGGCTCTCGTGGACGAGTACCAGGCCGCCGTGTCCTCTGCCCAGGTTTGGCCTCGTTGACCTGCTGCTGCTGCTGCTTCTGCTTCTGCTACACACGACACACACGACACACACGTCTCTCCCGTCTCCATGGCGGTGTGCGGCGCGGTGCAACGTCTCACTCTCAAGCGGCGCATGTCGGCTACACGGGGGGGGGGCTTGTTGTTTGCGGGTGGATGGGGGCTTTCCAGGGCGGCGACGTTCCGGCCTTCCCGTCCGCTCGGCTGCTGGCCTTGCTCGGCGCTGTGGAGCTGCCCGAGGCCGAGGCCAAGAGCTGGCTCGCCGCCACGCAGCCTCTCAAGCAGCTGGCCCTCGACTATGCCGAAGGCCTCGAGGCGCACGCCCAGCGCATCGTCGTGTCCCTCCTGCAGAACTACCTCGCCGTGGAGCAGCTCTTCCAGGTTTGTGTGTTGTGTCGTGTCGTGTGTTGTGTCGTGTGTGCCCCCCCCCCCAAACCCATATCACCCCTACACTCGCCGTGGTTCCAGCCAAGCTCACGTTTCCCCCCAATCCCCCGTTTTCTGGTGCTCGCGTCGTCCCGCAGGGCCGCCACGTGCCGACAGTGCTGCAGGAGCTGCGCGAGAAGCACAAGACCGACCTGGGCCGCGTCGTCGACATCGCTCTGTGCTACACGCGCAATCTGCAGTGTGCCCACGGGGTGGTGGCCCTCCTGGAGCAGGTGGAGGCCCGCCACTGGGCCATTATCGATCGCTACCTCCCCACCCTCCAGGAGCTCGCCGCCCTCGTCGGATCCAAAGGCAACCCACCCACCCACCCCCGCGGGGGCCGATCTAATTCGGTCCACTCGCCCCGCCTGCTCGCTTCAACGCTTACCTTGTTCCACCCCTCCTCCCACCCACCCACCCACCCATCCAAATCTACCACCACAATGGATGCAAATGGCGCACGCACGCACCACCAGGTGCCGCCGTGGTGTCGCTCAAGTGTCGCCAGCTGCTCATGCGGCAGTCCCTCCCCTCGTTTGAACAGCGCCAGGCACGACCCTCCCCCCCCGCCTCCTCCTCCTCCTCCTCCTGCTGCTGCTGCTGCCTTCTCGCCTCCTCTTTCCCGCGCAGCCTGATGTAGAGCTGGCGGGCGGGCGGGCGGGCGGGCTGGCGGGTTGGTTGGTTGGTGGCTGATCAACGTCGTCGGCCGTGTATATTTGTTTGTTGGTGAACACGCGGGCAGAAAGCCATTGAGGACTACTTGCGGCGCACCGCCACCATCACCGACGAGCAGGAGCGCCTGCGCCACATCTCCACCCTCGCCGACGAGTCGGCCTCCGTCTTCGATCTGCTCATGGGGCTCCTCACCCACCAGGTGACCACCCCGCCCCCGTGTGCCCCTTTGGTCGTGTGTGCCGTGTGGTCGTGGTGGTGGTGTGTCGTCTGATGTGTGTGTGTGTGTGTGTCATTGTGTCATCGTGTTCCATCCAGGATGCGGAGCTGAGGCGGCTGGGGCTGGAGGTGTACGTGCGGCGTACGTACCGCTCGTACGCCATCAAGAGCCTGGAGGTGCTGGAGCGGCCGCGGCCGACCGACGGAGAGGGCTTCCTGTTCGGCGAGTTCCAGTTCGCGCAGGCCGACGTCCACGCGTCGTCAGCGGGTCCCGCGGCCCTGGCGCCGGCGCCCGGACCCCACACCATGGCGCGCCCCGAGTCAGTGGACGACCTCATGCTGCTGGAGCGGGAGCGCCGCAGCACGCGCACGCAGGCGGCGCCCAAGGAGCCCACGCGCTACGGCGTCATGCTCGTGTTCGACGACCTGGCCCAGATGCGCGCCCTCTTCGAGTGGGCCATGGAGGCCTACATGCCACCGGCGCAGGAGGGCCCCGAGCTGGTCAACATCCTCAACGTGGTCCTCCTCAAGAACAGCAGCGGCGCGGCCGAGGCGGGCAAAAGCGCGGAGGACGCGGAGCGCGCGCTGATCGACGACTTTGCGGGGTTCCTGCAGCCGCACACGGAGCATCTGCGGTCGCTGGCCATCCGGCGGGTGACGCTGGTGATCTCGCGTGAGCGCGAGTTCCCCGACCACTACACGTTCCGCGAGCGGCTGGACTACGGCGAGGACGCCATCTTCCGGCACATCGAACCGCCGCTGGCCTACCACCTGGAGCTGCGGCGCCTGGCCAACTACAGCGTCGAGTACGTGCCCACGGCCAACCGCCAGCTGCACCTCTACTACGCCCAGCAGAAGGGCAAGGAGCATCTGCCGGCGGCCCAGTGCCACCGCCGCTTCTTCGTGCGCGCCACGGTGCGCGGCAGCTCCGTGCTCCTCGCCGCGGGCAGCAGCGGCAGCGGCGGCGGCGACTCGCTGGAGGCCAAGCTGAGTAGCCCGCCAGGGGGGGCGGCGGCGGCGCAGCTCCAGTCGCAGATCCTGCACACGGAGGGCGAGAAGGTGTTCACCGAGGCCCTCAACGCGCTCGAGCTGGCGGTGCGGGAGGCCCGCTTCCAGGCGAGCTTCAACCACCACATCTTCCTCAAGTTCATGCCCGAGGTGGTCATCGCGCCCGAGAAGGTGGACAGCATCCTGCGCACCCTGGGCGAGCAGTACGGCCGGCGCATGTGGAAGCTCCGCGTGTCCGAGGTCGAGGTGGTGGCCCTTCTCAAGCAGCCCTCGGGCGCCGTCGTGCCCGTGCGCTTCTTCGCCTCCAACCCGACGGGCTACCACTTCAAGATCGACACCTACGCCGAGGTGCGCGACGCCGCCGGCGGCCGCATCCGCCTGGTGCCCGTGCAGCGCGGCCGCGACCCGACGCCGCTGCCCGCGCGCGAGCTCTCCGAGCCCTACCCGGCCGTGGACCTGCTCGAGCAGCGCCGCATCGTCGCCCGCCAGAACGAGACCACCTACGTCTACGACTTCCTCGAGCTCTTCAAGGAGGCCCTCAAGGAGATCTGGCGCGACTACGCCCTCGCCTGCCGCAAGGCCGCCGCCGCCGCCGCCGCCTCGAGCTCTGGCGGTGGCGCGAGCGCGCCCGAGCCGCCCAAGGTGCTGCTCGAGGCGTGGGAGCTGGTGCCGGACGCGGGGGCGCCGGGCGGGGTGCGCGAGGTGGCCAACAACGCGATGGGCCACAACACGGTGGGCATGGTGGGGTGGCGGCTGCGGCTCTACACGCCCGAGTGTCCGGCGGGGCGCGACGTGATCGTGGTGGCCAACGACATCACGCACCAGATCGGGTCGTTCGGCCCCGAGGAGGACGTCTTCTTCGAGGCCGTGTCGAAGCTAGCGCGCGCGCGGGGTCTGCCGCGGGTGTACCTGGCGGCCAACTCGGGCGCGCGGATCGGGCTGGCCGAGGAGGTCAAGCAGGCCTTCCGCGTGCAGTGGGTCGACCCGGCGGACCCGGGCCGGGGCTTCCACTACCTGTACGTGGAGGACGCCGACTACGAGGCCCTGCGGCCCTACGTCAACTGCGAGCGCACGGCCGACGGGCGGTGGCGCATCGTGGACATCATCGGGCGGCGCGACGGCCTCGGGGTGGAGAACCTGCGCGGGTCGGGCCTGATCGCGGGCGAGACGTCGCGGGCCTACGAGGAGATCTTCACCATCACGCTCGTCACCGGGCGCACGGTGGGCATCGGGGCCTACCTGGTGCGGCTGGGCCAGCGCACGGTGCAGAACCAGGGGCCGATCGTGCTCACGGGCGCCACGGCCCTCAACAAGGTCCTGGGCCGCGAGGTCTACACGTCCAACGTGCAGCTGGGCGGCCTGCAGATCATGTACGCCAACGGCGTGTCGCACGTGTCGGCCGACGACGAGCTCCAGGCCGTGCGGGCCGTGCTCCAGTGGGTGGCCTACGTGCCCGCGGCGCGCGGCGAGGCGCTGCCGGTGCTGGCCACGCCGTGGGACGCCGTGGCGCGGCCCGTGGCGTGGAGCCCGCAGGAGAACACGCCCTACGACCCGCGCGAGATGCTGGGCGGCGCGCTGCTGCCCAGCGGCGAGTGGTGCGGCGGGTTCTTCGACCGCGGGTCCTTCTTCGAGACGCTGGCCGGCTGGGCCAAGACCGTGGTGTGCGGTCGCGCGCGGCTCGGCGGCATCCCGGTGGGCGTCATCTGCGCCGAGACGCGCATCGTGGAGCGCGTGACGCCCGCTGACCCGGCCAACCTGGCCTCGCACGAGAGCGTCTCGCAGCAGGCCGGCGGCGTGTGGTACCCGGACTCGGCCTTCAAGACCGCGCAGGCCATCGAGGACTTCAACAAGGGCGAGCAGCTCCCGCTCTTCATCTTTGCCAACTGGCGCGGCTTCTCCGGCGGCATGCGCGACATGTTCGACGAGATCCTCAAGTTCGGCTCCTACATCGTCGACCACCTGTGCCACTACGCCCAGCCCGTCTTCGTCTACATCCCGCCCTTCGGCGACCTCCGCGGCGGCGCCTGGGCCGTGCTCGACCCGACCATCAACCCGGACATGATGGAGATGTACTCGACCGAGACCGGCCGCGGCGGCGTCCTCGAGCCCTCGGGCACCGTCGAGATCAAGTACCGCGAGCGCGAGCTGCTCCTCACCATGCACCGCCTCGACCCCAAGCTCCAGGCCCTCGCCCTCGCCCTCAAGGCCGCCGCCACCCCGGCCGACACCGACCGCATCGGCCGCGAGATCGCCCAGCGCGAGGTCGACCTCCTGCCCCTCTACCGCCAGGTCGCCGTCGAATTCGCCGCCCGCCACGACACCCCCGGCCGCATGAAGGCCAAGGGCGTCATCTCCGACATCATCCCGTGGGCACACTCCCGTGCCTTCTTCCACGCACGCCTCCGCCGCCGCCTCGCCGAGGAGCGCGCCCGCGCCGCCGTAGCACAGGCCACCGAGGGATCGCCCCTCTCGCGCGACCAGGTCACGCGCCTCCTCCGCAGCTGGCTCTTGGCCTCCACCTCCACCTCCGCCGCCGACGACGAGGCCGAGGCCGCGCGCGTGTGGGCCGACAACGACACCGCGTGGAAGTGGCTCTCCAACCCCGACGCCCTCGCGCCCCACCTCGCCGAGCTGCGCAAGGCCGCCGCCGCTCGCCGCGTGGCAGACGCCGCCAAACTGGACTTCACGGCCTGGAAGCAGGCCCTCAACGACGCCCTGGGCGGCCTCTCGCCCGAGCAGCGCCAGGAGATCGCCGAACTTGCCCGCCAGGCCGCCTCCTCCTGAGCGCGCCCAGACCCTGCGCGTTGTTTTTACCCCCCCCCCGGCTTCCCTCTCTTGCATTCGGAACCTGTTTTTCTTTCATCCCCCCACCCCAGTAATTTATACGGCCACGGCCTTCTCTGAGCGTGTCGCTCTCTGTTACGTCGCTCTCTGTACACGCCGGAGCTCCACTTCTCTCGCAGCCTTGCGCATGGCAGGCCAGGCGTACGCCTACGTTGCTTCGGCGGCAGCGGCGGCGGCGTTGATCTTCTTGCTCGGCTGCCGCTTGAGGGCTCTCCTCTCGTCCTCTTTCGTCCGTCGGGCAGCGTCCTTTTCGCTCCTTCGGGCCTTCTTTTCCTCTCGTCGCCTCTCCTTCTCCCGCTCCTTGTCCTCCCGCTCGAGTCGCTTCCTTTCCTTCTTGAGCTCTCGGTCCGTCTTCTTGTCCGTCCCACTGCTCTTTTTCCGCTCGCGTCTGGCCTCCTTCTCCTTGGCCCTCTTCTCGCTCTTTTCCTTCTTCTCCTTCTTCTCCTTCTTCATCTTTTTGCTCTTCTTGCCCCTGCTGCTGCCATTCTCCGTTCCCTCCTCGTCCGTCTGCTGCTGCTGCTGCTTGGCGGTGGTCGTAGTGGTCGTGGGAGTGGCGGCTTCATCGTCGGCCGGCTGTGTCGCCTCCGGCGGACAACATTCGGTTGGCTCTCGGGGGACGTCGGCGCTGGCCGGAGGAGTGCCGCAGGTGGTGCCAAAGATGGGCAGGTTGCCCGCGATGGTGATGTTCCTCCGTCGGGCGCTGTTCCGCTCGAGGGCAAAGTCCACCACCTTTTTGATGTCCTCGCTCTGCTCCGCGTACAGCTGCAGCAGGTCCAGCACCAGCGGATGCCGCAGGGCGCCGTGCCTGCATTGCCGTGGTTGGTTGGTTTGGTTGGTTGGTTGGTTTGGTTGGTTGGGTTGGTTGGATCCCGCCCGCCACACCCAGTCAGCTCCTCGCGCGGCATACCCATGGGGGGCATTCATTGTACACGCTCGCCGAGTTGGCGGAGGAGGCAGGGGACCACCGCACCGAAAGTCGTTTTCCAGGTACTGCCTAAAGTTGCCGTAGTAGTCGCTATCCTGGATCTGGTGCGACACAAACTGGTCCAGCGATTCCCTGGCGGCGGCGTGTCTCGTGTGAGAGTGCCGAGGCACGACGTACTAGCAGCAGCAGCAGCACGGCGGCGGTGGCGGCGTACCGGAGGTAGGCCTTGGCCAGTTCCTCGCCCTTCTCCACGCCGCCCGTTCCTTCCAGATGCGCCAGCCCCACGCGGAAGGTGCCTGCATGGTGGTGCACCACCAGCAAACCAGCCACAAACCCAAACCACCAGACCACCATTCAGTTGACTCGCACCCGTGCGTGTGCGTGTGCGTGTGCGTGTGCGTGTGCGTGTGCGTGTGCGTGTGCGGTGGTGGCTGGGGGTACCGCGAGCGTGCCCGAGTTCGTGCGCCTTTCGGAAACACTGGAGAGCGCGGCGTTCGTCCTTCTGGGTCTTGAGGGCGATGCTGCCCACCAGGTACACCATGGCCTCCTGCAGGAACGCATTCGTTTCACGCAGCCACCGCGAGTGCTCGTCTGTAGCACGGCTCACAAGTACCACAAACCGCACACGCACACGCACCCTCTTAGAGAAGCAGCAGCAATAAATTTCAATTTTCTAAACGATAAATAAAAAGAAAAGAACCTGTGGCGGGGGTGGGGGACCTTGGTCGTGGCGGCATTGTTGGGGAGCTGCGGGCGATGGGGAGGTGGTGGTGGTGGTGGTGGACGCGTAGGAGGAGGCGGAGGAGATGGATGGTCCGTCGTTGTCCTCTGCCCCACCACACCCGACCCCGCGCGAGGGCGACTGACTGGCGGAGGTGGGGTCCGGGTCCAGCTCGAGCTGGTCCCATGCCACGTCGTCGTCGTCGTCAAGGTCGTGCTGCTGCTGCTGGTGGGGGAGCTGCGGGGGGCGGCGGCTGGAGAGGAGGAGCTCCCCCGACCAGCTCAGGTCGTCGTCCGATAGCATGAGCACTTCATCGTCCCCCTCCTCCTCCCCCGCCCCGAAGAGGACGTGGTGGCTTTTCAGGTGCAGGCCTTCTGTCGCCATCGATGTGAAGTCGTCGGCGTAGTCTAGATCCCCGCTACGCTCCATCTTTCCTCGCGCTTTGGTAACGGCTACTTTTCCGTGGTTTTCTTTTCGGCTGGCGCAACGTGAAACAATTTAAAAAATGTACATTCCATTCCAGGATGACCTCCTTACTTCTTGAGGGAGATGTAGGCGGGGCTGAGCAGGAGGCGCTTCTTGTCCTCGAGTGCGGCGACTGTGGCCTTCTGGTCCTTGGCGATGGCGTCCTTGAGCTGCTTCTCGATTACTGCACGCGAGGGGGATCGCGACGACCATGTGAGTGGCCGCACGCACGCACGCAGCAGCTGAAAAGGAAAAGGAGGCCAAAACCTTGGAGGGCGCGGAAGGGCCAGCGCTTGTTGTCGTTGGCCTGCCGGAAGCGTTTGGAAAACGTGGCGTTGGACATGTGCAGGCGCGCCGCCGCCTCGTTTTGCGGGAGCTGCAGCAGGTCCGTGATGTCGATGCGCCCTTGGCCCCCTCCCGGCTGCTGCTGCTGCTGCCCCTGCCCTTGCCCTTGCCCACCTCCTCGGAGACGAACATGCACGCGACTCAACTCACCGGCGGCGGCACAACCATATATGGGTCGTGGTGCCGCCGTCAAGGCGCTGCGGGGTGAGGAGGAGAGGCAGGGGATCCTACCGGCGGAAGGAGGCGCGGCGTGGGCGGCCAGGAGGTTGTTGAGCAGTGGCGACGTGGAGCCCTCGAGCAGCGGCGAAGACGACGACGAAGGTTGCGGCATCTGCCCCTCCCCCCCCGTGCATCAGCCCCACCACCACCACCACCACCACCACATCGACACCATCGACATCCGCCAATACGCGCGCACGCCGGTGAGGAGGGTCGGGGAATTCTGGTGATGGAAGGGTGGGGGGGGGGTGTCGTTGGTTGTTGGTCGCGTACCAGCGCGTTGGGCTCCTTTTTGGTGAGCGACCTGTGCAGCGGGTGGTGCTGCTGCTGGTGGTGGTGATGGTGGTGTGGGTGCTGCTGGTGGGAGGGCAGCTGCTGCTTGTTGGGGGAGGCCATGGCTGATCGGATGTGGATGGGAGGCGGCGTCTGCAGGCCCGCTGCAGGCGCGAGGTGCGGCGTGCCCTGCCCCTGCACGAGCTTGGCGTAGTGCTCCTGCGCATACCCCGCCCGCCCCGACGATGACGATGACGATGGCGACCGATAATGAGACCACCACCACCACGCACCACCACGCACCACGCACCACCACGCGCCACCACCACCACCAAGGCGTGTGCGGTGTGCGTTGGTGCGCAGCGAGGTGGGAGGGTGGTGGCGCGCACCGAGATGCGGGAGACGAACGCAGCGGTCTGCATCTGCTGCTGCTGCGGGTTGGCGGCCGGGGAGAGGGAGCTCGGATCCTCCCCCCAGCGGACGCTGTTTCCGTCGACACCGCCGGTGGGCGGATGGGCGGCGCCCTGGTGGGCCGCAGACAGCAGCTCCACCCTGTCGCCCTCGCCCCACACGGGAAGCGCCCCGTCGACGCCGCCGGGGTGCGTGTGCGAAAGGGCGTGCTGCATCCCCGTGGCGGCGGCCTGCTGCAGGGAGGCGGTGATCTGCCGCGCGGGGATCGGCTGGTAGGGCGACACCACCGCCATGTGGGCGTGCGGGTCCGGAGAGGCCAGCTCATCCTGCACCCACCCACGCACCCACGCACCCACCCACCATGGTATGAGCAGCCGCCGCCACCGACCATTGAAGCTCTTCAGCAAGCAGCAAGCAGCAAGCAGGAGCGTCTGTGGGGCGGGGAGTGCCGTACGGTCGCGATGGCGGGCGTGTAGGAGGGCAGGCCCACCGGGTAGGGAAATGAGTCCGAAGGGAGCGAGTAGGAGGAAGCGGGGGTGGGGGTGGGGGTAGCGGAGGACGACGACGACAACGACGACGACGACGACGAGGAGGAGGACGATGAGGACGACGACGAAGCGATGAGAGAGGAGGAGAAGTAGGGGGGAGTTGAGACCGGCACACAGAACAGGTCGACGCCGCCTTCCGATGATGAAGACGACCTGGAGCCGACAACGTTGGACGCCGCGGCAGCAGCGTGGTGGTGGGACGAGTGCATGGACAGGGGCGGGTCGTAGTCGAGAGCAGCAGCTGCCTGGTGGTGGTGGTGGTGGTGGGGCATGCCCGGAATGATCTCGGGCGGATGGCCCCACGTGGCGGCCTCGCTCAGGGCGGGCGAGGGCTCGTCGGGTGGGCCGCCCCTCGACCGCTTGCTCAGGGGCGTGGTGCCCGCCACTTGCCCCAGCCCGTCACACTCGACCCCCTCCTGTGGGTGGCGGGGATGGGGGTGGTGGTAGCCGTCGTCCGCGGACGGATGCCTCCCCGTGGCGGCCTCGCTCAGGGCGGAGGCCGGACGCTTGCGAGACGACGACGACGGGGACGGCGAGGTGGTGGAGGAGGAGGAGGAGGAGGAGAAGGGCTGGAGGGACGACGAGGCGGGAGCGGAGTGATGAGCAGGGGAGCGCACGAGGAGGGAGCGGGCGCGAAGGGCGGAAAAGGGGCACGACGAGTCGAGGGAGAAGGCGTCGGCGCCCACCAGCGGATCGAGCTTGGAGGGGAGGGCAAACAGCTGGAACTCCAGGCAGTAGTAGGAGTAGGTGGTGATGGCCGTTGTCGCGGTGGACGACGTGGTGGTGGTGGTGGTGGTGGTGGTGGCCGCGGTGGACGACGTGGTGCTTGCGGGAAAGGGACGCGCAGCGTCGGTGTCGGGGAGGAGCTTGAGGGAGGGGAACTTGGCGAGCCCGTCCGGTTCGACGGAGGTGGTGAGGATGCCCTCGAGCACGTGGTCGGCCGACACGGGCAGCTGGAGCTGCGGATCGAAGGTAAGCAGCGACACGCGGCACATGAGCTGCTGCTCCTCGCCCTCGCCCTCGCCATTCCGGTGCTCCGAGTGCTGATGGCCCGGGCCGAAGAGGTTGCGGTGCCGCCCGTGCACTCGCACAACGGGCGCCGGCTTCAGGAATTCGCCCGCCTCCGCGTGCCCATCGGGCTCCTGCACCACCCACAGATCCTCTTCGTCTTCTCCGCCGTCCTCCCTACTCCTTTCACGCCCACACCACACCGCACAACCACACCGCACATGCACACACGACACACACGACACACGACCACACACACGACACACACGACCACGCACCACACAGACCGCCGCACGACACCACACCGCGCGCGCGCGTGCACACACACACACACACACGCGACACCGCCGGCACACAAAGGGAGCGCCCGTGAGCTGACGCCTCTCGAGTAGCAATGCAAGATGGGGAAGGGGTGGCGGCGGCGGCGGCGGCGGCTGATGGTGGTGGTGGTGGTGGTGGTCGTGGTGGTGGTCGTGGTGGTGGTGGTGGTGGTGGTGGTGGTGGTGGTGGTGGTGGTGGTGGTCGTGGTGGTCGTGGTGGTGGTGGTCGTGGTGGTGGTGGTGGTCGTGGTGGTGGTGTGGTGGTCGTGGTGGTCGTGGTGGTCGTGGTGGTCGTGGTGGTCGTGGTGGTCGTGGTGGTCGTGGTGCTCGTGGTGCTCGTGGTGGTCGTGGTGGTCGTGGTGGTCGTGGTGCTCGTGGTGGTCGTGGTGGTCGTGGTGGTCGTGGTGGTCGTGGTGCTCGTGGTGCTCGTGGTGCTCGTGGTGGTGCGTGTGTGCGTGTGTGCGTGGTGGCGGGTGACAGTGTACCGGGAGAGGAGGGAAGGGGAGGGAGGGAGGCGGAGAGCGAGAGCGGCGAGGAGCTCGTGCACGACGGGGATGCCGCCGTCGCCGTCGCCGTCGTCGACCGAGCCGGACGAGGTCGAGGCCGCGACTGCGTCGGCGAGGAGGCGGCGAAGGGTTGCATCGCTCACCGTGCCTACGCGCTGTGTGCGGAGGCCCTCGTCGCCCTCGTGCGGCGGCGGCGGCGGCGGCCCAGCGGAGTGAAGGTGGTGGCGGCGGCGGCGCGGCGTAGAGAGCGTGACGAGGGTGTAGCGCTGGGCGAGGGCGAGGAGGCGGAGGGCAGACGCGGGCAGCAGCGGCAGGATGTCGTCCACCAACCACTCCGTCACGAGAGGAGGAGGAGGAGGGGCGCCGGCGGCGAGCTGCTGCTGCTGCTGCTGGTGGTGGTGATGATGATGATGATGTGGGCTGGCAGAAGGCTCGCGTACGATGTACCGCAGCACCACGGGGCGGCAAGGAGGGGCGGCGGCGAGCTCCGATGCCGCGTCGGCCGTCTCGTGGAGGGTCGGGGAAGCGGAGGGGAGGCGGAGCGAGGTGCGGCGAAGCGGATAGGGACCCTCCTCGAAGAAGTTGTCCAGTATTTGCTCCTCTTGGGTGTGAGCACCACCACCCAAGGCCTTTTCCATGGACGTCCGATTCGAATGCGGCCGGGGGGGGGCTAACGGTTAGATTGCGCAAATTGGCAATCAAGCGGCAAAGAGAAGCCGCGCAGCACGCCCACTCCGGAGAAGGGAAGGGAGAAGCGTGGGCGGCGAACGACGGGAGGTGGAGCGGCGTTGGCGTTGCAAGCTGGAGCGCGGCGTCTTGACTGTTGCTCGAGGCCGGAATTTCGCGAGCCAATCGAAATTTCACGATCCTAAACACGCGAGGAATGCAAGGCACGCAATAAATGCTTCATGTATATTTGCAGGCAGTTTTTGGGCGCGTCAGCCTGGGCGCAGGCGGTGGTAGAGGGCGCCGACCGGGGAGGGGAGGTAGGTGTACACCACGGTATCCAGCTGGCCTAGCAGGCTCGTGGCAACGCCGCGGGCTCGGCTATTGGATCGGTAGCGCGCCGACACGAACTGGAAGTACAGCACCACTCCCATCAGCCCCACATACCTGCAATGTGGGCAGAGCGGGATCCACCGTGTTAACGCAACAACGACGACAACGACAACGACAGCGACTGATACTACAACACGAGGACACAAAGGGAGGAAAGGCGGTGAAGCGGACGAATTGAGGGTACGTACCCCTGGAAAAACTTGATCACCATGAGGGGCAGCAGGAGGATCTCCAGATAGGCGGCCGCAAAGTACAGCTGCTCCCTCTTGGCCAGCACGTACGACGTCCCCAATCGGACATAGTGACCACTGCGTGCGTAGAGGTACGCCGAAGCACGCGGCAACGAGACACACAGAAGATGAAATCAGAGAGAGAAGAGGAGAGGAGAGGAGAGGAGAGGAGAGGAGAGGAGAGGAGAGGAGAGGAGAGGAGAGGAGAGGAGAGGAGAAGAGAAGAGAAGAGAAGAGAAGAGAACACCAGCGAGAGGAGCAGAGGCGATCGAAGAAAAGAGTGTCAAAGGGAGGAGCACGGCGTACAGGCCGCTCGCGTCGCTGACCAGGGCCGAGGCGTAGGTGGCCGTGTTGATGAGCGCGTAGATCGCCACCACGGGCACCAGCACTGGCGTCCGAGAAGAGGTGTTGTGTGTGTGTGTATGTGTGTGTGAGCTCCCCCAGTCCCAAAAGGGTATATATACATATGCATACATAAAAATGCGGTGAAGCAGTGGGGAGGGAGGCTACGCACACAAGACGGGGGTCTCGTTCAAGAAAACCAGCGCGAGGAGGAGATAGTGCGTGCTGTCGGTGGCCATCAGCCGCGCCAGGTACTCCCGCGAGAATTGAGGCGACTGCACACCGCACACCGCGGCAAACGGCACACGACACGACACATGGCCCGTCAGAGGCGAGGCGAGGCGAGGCGAAAACAGGAGGGAAGGAGAGGGGCGAGCATGGGCCACGGTACCCCGAGGGTGCGGTAGAGGTGGAGAGCGCAGGTGGCACACACGGCGAGGAGGAGCCACCGGTAAGCCGCCGAGACGCCGGCGAGGAGGAGGGCCAGTGCACTCAGCACCACGGCCGCATTGGCAGCCACGTCGGCCGCGCCCACCAGCCCAAGCCCTCGCGGCCATTGTCCGCTTGCGCCCTGCCGCCCGGAGGCCGATCCCGCACTGCCACTGCTCGTCGGTCCCGACGTGCCCTCACGATTCGTCCCCGATGATGCCGAGGAGGAGGAGGAGGCGGCGGCGGCGGGGGGCGTGCTGCCCTGCGCGGCGGGTGGGGCAGCAGGCTGGTCGTTGCTGTCCGATGGGAAGGTGGCCGATGGATCCTGCCGGGCACCGGTGGGCGCTACGGCGTAAGCACGTAAGCCTCAAGCGAAGGGCTGCAGCTGCAGCCAGTAGGAGGTGGGCGCATTGTGTGTGGGGGGGAGGGGGTGCATGACGATACCACGGAGCGCAGCCAGTACTTGCGCTTCAGGCGGCGTAGAGCGGCGGCCTCGAGAGTGGGGAGAGCGGGGAGCTCCACCCCCTGCAGGTAGCGCTGCCACTGTGCGTCGCTCTCCCAATCGTGGCTCTCGAAATCCTGCCTCGCCGGCGACGACTGGTCTACTGCTGCCCCGCTCGCGCTGTCGCCCTTTTCCGGTGGTGGCGCCGACATTGCTGGTGGTCTCTACGCCTCTACTTCTTCTTCTTGCTGGGCGGGTTGCTGTGAGTGCGTGGTTTTCCGTGGGTCTACCCCTGCCCCCCTTTTTTTTGTTATTTTTTGTTTTTCTTTCCTTGGCTTGGCGTGACGTGGAGATGGAGGCTGGCCAGCAACAGCCCAACACCGGGCCGATGGATCAAGGGGCCGGTGTTCTCCCCACCGCAGAAAAGAAAAGAGAAGCTATTGTAGCAGGACGAGGAGGAGAAGACGATTTGCCCCCGCAGGCGGCCACTACTTCAACAGCCACCCCTGAGGCGGTTGTAGCACAGCTGCGTGCCGAGCTGGCGGCTGTGGTGGCCGAGCTGGAGGCCTGCAAGCAGGAGCGGGACGACCTCCTGGGGCGGCACCTGCGGCTCAAGGGCAAGTACCGCGCCCTCAAATACCGCCCTCCCTCCGCCTCCTCTGCTTCTTCTTCTTCTGCCGCTGCCTCTTCTTCCTCCTCCTCCTCCTCCTCCCACCGCCCCACCACCACGACGGCGGCTGCCACCACCTTTGCCTCCTCCTACGCTGCTCCCTCCCGCTTCCCGCCATCATCGTCGTCGTCGGCCATGGCCATCCAGCGGCAGCAGCACCAGCCGCAACCGTCGTCGTCGGCGCTGTCGACCAGCCTCCTCTACGCCTCGTCGCTGCCCAGTGGTGCCATGGCCTCTTCAGGTCGAGGTCCCGTCGTCCTCCGGGGCACCGCCACGCCCGTGGACCCCATGGCCCCGTCCTCCTCCGACAACGGAGCCACTGGCCGCGGTGCCGCTGGTCGCCGCCGCTCTGGTCGAGCACCCCACGCGCCTCCACCGGCCCTGCTCACCCCCGGGCCAGCAGCTGCCGAGGCCCTTCCCGCGCCCACCACCACCACTGCCGCCGCCGGTCCGAGCGAGCCCAAGGAGGTGGCCTCGTCGGCCCCTGCGCCGACGTCGGCGGCTGCCGCCACGAGTGCCCGCGCCATGGCCGGACCCGCCAGCTCGACAGGGACGGCGACCCGGGGAGCAGGCCGCCGGTTGCTGGCCGGAGTGGGCCTCCTCCTCGAGACCTCGGCCTCTGCCGCCCTAACGGGCGGGTCCGGGTCCGGGTCGTTCCCCGTCGACCAGCAGCAGCAGCCGCCGCCGCCGCCGCGCCCTGCCGAGGGAACCGCAGCCGACTCGTCGTCCTCGTCGTCCGCGCCCGCCGCCGCCTCTGAAGGTGGTCTGCTCAACGGAGCGGGCACCCACCGGGTCCGCAACAACGCGGCCACCTCGGCCGGCTTCGTCAAGGCCAGAAAGCAGCGCAGCGAGGAAAGCGGTACCGCCACCATCGTCCGCCCGCTCTGCGCCCACGGTCTGCCACCCACTTGGGTGGAATCTCTCACATCGCGAGTGGTGGTGGTGGTGGCCACAACAGAAGCGGCGCTCTTCGAGTTCGACGAGTTTGGAGCGTGCGCAGAAGAGGAGACCGGCTCAAGCCCCCGCGCCGCCGGTGCGCCTCTCCTCTGTCGCGTCCCATATGCACTAGCGCAGTAGTGCGTGCACGCGTTCGTGTGTCTTGTGTGTCGTGTGTGTGTGCATGCAGTCCTTTGCTCTTCAGGAGTTGGCCTCACCACGACGCCTGCCATGGCCATATCGGCACGACAGGCGCAGAAAGTGAAGACGATCAGGACGAGGAGGAGGATGACGATGAGGAAGTGGAGCAGCAGGAGAGTGCGGGAGTGAGGAGGCAGCGGTACGGGATAGCCGAAGCGCTGCAGCGAGACGAGATGGCGATCTACGCGTCCTCCGTGCCCGTTGCCATCCCGCGGCGATGGGTCGAGGAGCGGGAGGACAAGAAGACCCCCCACCACCAGGCTGCCGCCGCTGCCGAGGAGCAGGCCCAGGCGGGCCTTCCGCCGGCTGAGCCCCCTCATTCAGCCAGCCCCGACGAAGAGGACGATGACACGGTACGGCAAGGCCTTGCCCACTCACTGGTTGCACAAATAACCACCACGCACCACGCACCACGCACCACGCACCACGCACCACGCACCACGCACCACGCACCACGCACCACGCACCACGCACCACGCACCACCCACCACGGTGGTGGTGGTGGCATTGAGTTATGCTGACGCGGGCCGCGTGCCGCAGTTCGTGGCGCCCCACATCTACTCCCTGCGCACGACGTCCGTGCTCGAGGATGTCCCGCGTTCCATCAGCTACCGGCCCTACTGGAACGACCACGCCGGCCAATAGAAGGGAGCGAACGAGCCGCCACGCGTCAAGGCGAAGCTGGCTTGGCGTCGCGTCCTCCCCCCCACTTCGAGCAGCACGCGCCAGGTGTGCCCACTGCTGCCGCCGCAGGAGGGAGGGCTACAACAAGGGGAGCTGCTCCAGCAGTAGTCGCTCGTTGTTTTGTTTGTTATTATTTTATTTGTTTGTTCTATTTGTACACGAGGAACTGCTTCAGGCCAAAGTATTGGGAGGCGAGGGAGTGGCCGTCCCGGGTGGGCTGCGTGAATGCGCACTCGCTCTTGCGCACCGGGTACCCGTACACGAAGTGCGCCCGTGCGGCGTCGAGCAGCTTGGTCGCCACCCCCGTCCTTCGGTGCTCCTCGTGCACCTGCCCACGCGCACGCACGTTTGCGTGTACAGAGAGCGTAAGAGCTCTGTGGCAGCGTGACACTGCCTGTGCTGTGGCGCATACCCAGATGCGCGAGATGCCCATGACCGCCGGTTCGGGCTGGGTGCTGCACTCGTCTCCTTGCTCGCCCACCACGCGGAAGGCCTGCTCCACTCGCTCCACCACGAGACACCCGATCGCCTGCTTCGCCTTCGACACGAAGATGAAGATCTGTCCTCGGCCCCACCCCGTGCACGGCGACCGGTAGGTTAGGTTGCGGCCTAAACCGACAGCAGGAAGTGCGGTGGTGCGGCATGTTCGTCATGTAAGGCGAGAGTCGTTTACCTTCTCCTCCTCGCCCGGCGCGTCGTTGCTCATGTTCCAGCCCAGGTCGTCGTTGACGATGGCCAGCAGCTGCTCCACGCGCCTGCGGTGGCCGTACTCCTCGCCCGTCGCAACCATCACCACGCAGCTCCCGCCGGCCACGTCTTCCGCCACCACTCGCAGCCGCCGCAGGGACTTGGGGGAGGGGAAGGGAGGGAATTGGTTGATAAATGCGCAGTGACCCCGCCAGCCGCCAGTGACCCCACCATCATCATCATCATCATGGATCATCAGTCACCGCCAACCTATATAATATATATATATGTGTGTGTGTGTGGAAAAGAGGGGGTGTACCGGAAACCACACATCCCTGCTGAGCACGGCGACTGGCGTGGACGGGGCCGCGGGCCGCGGTACGCTGCTCCCCTCATCGCCGCTGCCGCCACCAGCCGCAGCCGCAGCCGCAGCAGGAGAGTCGTCGTCGAGCCCAACGTTGCTGAAGGCGGACCCACCCGCCGTCTCGTCCGGGGTGCCAGCGACGAGCCCCACTCTTCGTCTCTTCGTCGTCTGCTGCTTCC